ATTCAAGGACCTCCTCTCTGTCCAGTGCTTCTTTCCTTCTTGTCCCTCCCACAAATACCACATCCAGTCTTTTGCTCTTCTTTCCATTTGAATCCACTAATAATAGAACCATGATATTCTTCATTATGTTAAATGCAATTAAAATTATATCTGCAGGTATATAACTATCTATGTTTCTATCTGAATATCACTCCCTATATACAACATTTTGAAATTGATCCGAGACAGTAAAGAACAAAATAGATAAGTTCTCTTCTTGCTTTTATGAAACTTACCTTTGTGTGTGGGGCTGGGTGGGGTGATACTCAATGATAGTATTACATGACAACAAAGATGATGAAGAAAAACTGCCAGCTCTCAGAATGCATTTTGTATAAATATTCAGATAAGCATTACTTTATTGTAAAAGTTTCACTCTTACCCAAAAAACTGAAATTTTCAATGTGGTTCATTATTTCTAATTGAGTAAAAACTAATTTATAAGCCAGGATTAACTTTCTATTCTTTGAACAGTAACATATTTGTATTCTTAAAATAACACACATAGATTTCTCAGTCGCCCTCTGTGTCTTGTGTTATTTAATGGATGAAGATCACTGTGCTCCACAATGTCAGTCAAGGAACCATGCTGTGGTGGCTACATCATTTTGTAGTGGTACCATCTGGAACATGAAGTCAGAACAAGAATAAGATAGACAACAGGGCAAAAAAGTACAAGCAGGAAATATAAAATTTTTCAGTGCTAATTTCTCATTAATGGGAAGGTTTCCTCATTTGGGCTGCCTAAATAAGGAGAAGGCTTTGGACTTCCTTGGGACCTTATCTGTTGTTCATTTCTTGTTTCAAGTTTCTCTCATTTGGAATGGGAAGGTCTGCTGTGCTGGTCCTACTGTTGTGTTTTGCAAGCATATAGCATGTCTCGTTTCATAGCTTTATGACTGGAAAGAAATTTTACCTCAGGATGAATCATACTTTGAATATAACCCATACCTGCTTTAGTTAATTTTTAGGTGATACTTTGAAGTAACATTTTGTGCTGGAATAAATTTAGATTTTGGTGTGACTGGAATGGGTTAACGCATTTGGTGTATAAGAACATAAATTTGGGGAGTTCAGAGTGTGCAGTATTATGAACTAAATTTTGTCTCTGTAAATACTTAAGTTGAAACCCTAATCCCCAATGTGACTGTATTAGGAAATAAGGCCTTCTAAGTGATAACTAAAATTAAGTGAGGTCATAAGGGTAGTGCCATAATTCAATATAATTGATGTATCTGTAAGAGGAGACACCAGGTGTGCATATCCAGAGGAAAGACCATGTGAAGACACAGTGAGAAGATGGCCATCTGCAAGCCAATGAGAGAGGCCTCTGCAGAAACCAGAGCTCCTGATACCTTGATCTTGTACTTCTAGGCTCCAGAACTGAGAGAATAAATTTCTGTGGTTTAAGTCATCCATTCTGTGATATTTTGGCAGCACTAGTACATTAGTAAGTTGGTGGTAGATTGATTTTATTGAAACACTACCATCATAAAAGGACCGTGTTTTGTTCTTCCTGGAATAGACACTCTAGATATAAATTTGACTTCCCTACAATCAATGATTCTGCCAAAACTACCATCCGTGAATTTAGAGAATGCTTTATATACCATCATGGTATTCCACACTGCATTGCTTGTGATTTGAGGACCTCACTTAACAACAATGGAAATGTAGCAATGCGCCCACACTCATAAATTCACTGTTATTAACATGTTTCTCACCATCCTGAGCAGCTGGTTTGATAGAACAGTGAAATGGCCCTTTAAGATGAAGTCACAGCATCATTGAGATGAAAATATCTTGCAGGGCTGCAGGAAGGTTCTGTAGGAAGCTATTTTTGCTCTGAGTCTGTGCTCAATATCTGGTGCTTCTTCTTCCATAGTCAGAATTCACCACTCTGAGAATCAAGGGATGGGCATGGAAGTGTTGCCTTTTCTCCCTGCGACCTTATGCTCTACTGGCATAAAGATCTTAGTTCCAAAGTGAAATGCTTCCACCAGTAGACACAATGATGATTCCATTAAACTGAGAAGTTAAGAATTCCACCCAGCCAGTTTGGACACTTCATGCCTCTGAATCAACAGTCAAAGAACACAGTCACTGTGCTAGCTGAGGTGATTGATCCTGGCTATCAAGGAGAAACTGGACACCTACTCCACATGGAAGTAAAGAGTATTTCTGGAATACAGGAGATCTTTAGGGCATCTTTTAATATTATCATGCTCTGAGCTATCAAGGAGAAACTGGACACCTACTCCACATGGAAGTAAAGAGTATTTCTGGAATACAGTATTTCTGGAGATCTTTAGAGCATCTTTTAATATTATCATGCTCTGCGATTAAAGTCAATAGAAAACTACAATTCTCTGATAAAATTAATGTTTTTATCTGCCAAATTCATATGTTGAAGTCCAGTGTAACTCTATTAGAGACAGATCCCCTAAGGAAGTAATTAAGGATAAATGAGCTTATGCGTTGGGGACCTGGTTCAAAAGACTTAGTGTTTTTATAAGGAGAGATGGCACCAAAGAGTTTGCTCCCCTTCTCTTTCTCTCTGTCTCCTTCCTTACAAACAACAGTTCACACGAGAACATGGCAAGAAATCTGCTGTCTACAACTCCAGGGGAGAGCCCTCACCAGACAGAAATCTCACTGTCACTTTAGTCATGATCTTCCAGTGTCCAGAACTGTAAGAAAATAGACTTGTGTTGTTTAAGTCACCCAATCTGTGGTATTGTGTTATGGTAACATGAACAGATTTATATAAACCCAACTGAGGCAGGGTACTAATGGCCAAGTTTCATCAAGTTTGGGTTGCCTCACCAGGTAAAGTACCACAAAATAGCTGAACTACTTGCTGAGGGCAAAAAGAATACAAAATAAGTAGTGGGAGAATGGGTGGTGTTAAATATCAGGTGTGACCACATGACCAGTTAAATAAACAAGGACCAAAATTGTCTTCTGTATTTTTTATTTTATGTTTGTGCATATATATGTATATGTATATATATATATATATATAATACTTTTATCCTTTTAACGCTTTATCATTTAACATAAAACATATTTATCGACTTTATATCACAGTATGTATGAACTGTTCACTTTACACCCTAGTATTAAGTTATAGAATATCGAGGAGAAGAGTGAACATTGTATCCACTCTTGGGAACAGGGTTAGTTCATGTTGGTTGTACACAGGATAGTTGCATCATGTTAGGTGAAAGTATCACCTTATAATTGCCTTTATTTAGAGATTAAGTATGGTTAAAAAATGTTTATGGGTGCCAAATTGACAATGAGTTAATTTGTGTTGTTTAATTTCATGTTAATTTGGCTGGAGCATAGCATGCCCAGGTATCTGGCCAAACACTAGTCTAAGTTTTGCTGTGAAAGCATTTTTAGATGACATTGACATTTATACCAATAGACTTTGAGTAAAGCAGATTATCCTTCAAAAAATGGGTGGACCTAATCCAGTCAATTGAAGGCCTTAAAAGAAAATAAGACAGATTTTCCACCCTCCCGCCACCTCCCAAAAGAGAGGAAACTTTGCTTCTAAAGTGTCTTCAGACTGGAGCGGAACCATCATTTTTTCCTTCAGTCTATCCTGCAGGTGGTTGACTTACTAGCTTCCACAACTGCATAAGACAGATTCTTTAACTCTCTCTCTCTTTGTCTCTTACTCTCTCTTGCTCACTTGCTCTCTCCATCTCATATAGATATATAGTTTTTCTGGATAATCCCTGCCAAACCAGGATCTGGAAATGTACCTGCAGGGTCTCAGTGGCAAAGCAACACTGAAAAGAAAAGCAATGTCCCTCTTTCCACCCCACTACAATAAATGAGTCATCTGAGCTGGGGGTGGGGGGGAGGTACTAGTTTGGAAAATTAAAACCACAATGACATATCATCTCATTCCAGTTAGAATGGCTATTATCAACAAGCCAAATGTATCAAATGCTTAAAAATGCAGAGAAAAAGGAACTTTCCTCATCGCTGGTAGGAGTGTAATTGGTACAGCTACTGTGGAAAACTGTACCTACTTTTACTTCTCTGAGAAAACTCAGAGAAGTAAAAATAGATCTATCTTAGGATCCAGCTACCCAACTACTGGGTATTTACCTGCAGGAAATGAAATCAATACATCAAAAAGACTTGCACTTTCATGTTCATCTAAGAACTATTCATACATAGCCAAGAGATGGATTCAACCTAAATGTCCATCAATTTATGGATTTTAAAACCTGTGGTACATATGGAATACTACTCAGCTATTTTTCAAAAAAACCCTATTATATGCAGCAACATGGACGTAATAACTTCGTATAGCATACATTATACGAAGTTATACGACTGGGTGCAGATCTTTTCTGTTGTATATACAATTTTAGTTCTTTATTTCCTTGTAACTAGATACTTTATTTTGAACTGGGGGACTAGACATTCCAGTAAATAGGGTGACAGGAAGGCAGAGGTCACATGGAAAATTTATAAGTTTGACTTTCCCAGTTCTCATGGATGGGTGCTGAGGTAGGTTATGCACACACATTCACAGATACTGAGAGCATCCACCTTGGACTTCCTTTTCTCATGAAAGTTCATCCAAAATGGAGACTTGAATTCCTGTGGCCAAGCAGGGTTAAGAGCAAATACTACTTGTTTAGACAGCCTGTTTGGAAAGGAAAAAAAGGACTTCCTTTTCTCATGAAAGTTCATCCAAAATGGAGACTTGAATTCCTGTGGCCAAGCAGAGTTAAGAGCAAATACTACTTGTTTAGACAGCCTGTTTGGAAAGGAAAAAAATTTTAAAAAACTATATATATAGTTTTGTCTGGGCATATATATATATTCAGCACTGAGCAAACCCAAAAAGAATTTCCAATGGGACAGAATTTCTCAGGAACATAAAAACAAAAATGAAGGGTAGGTTTCTATGAAGTCAATAATAGCGAAGATTTTTTTTTTTTCCATTCAACAGCATTTATTTTACATTTTAAAAAAAATAAATAAAAATCTGTGGTTCTTTAATCTAGTTACACTATTTATAAAAGCAAAGTTTGGGTAATAATTTTGAAAGTAAACTAACACATTTTCTTATAAATCATTTATTTCAGTAACAGAGAAAAGAAACAAAAATTAATAGACACCTTATTAGATTACTTCTTATGTGCTAGAAATGATAGAAGTTATTAAGAAAACATTCTGTTTTTTAAGTTTCAAAATACTATATCTGGTAAAGTTAGTTTTTATTATTCTTTTTCAAATAATAAACTGAATCCCATAGAATTGTGTTTACTTGATAAGGGCAAGACTGTAGCAACATCAGAATTACAATGAAATTTTAAATGTGTGTGTGTGTACGTATGTATGTATATAAAAGACAGAGCTGGAGTAGTATTGAGGATGGTGTATAGGACATAAAAAAAATGAGAATTCAGTAAAGGTAAACTTAGTTCCTCCGAAGGCACAAGCTGTTCCATGGGACACGGCCACAGGTTACATTTTTCAGTACTTAGTAGAGCAAATACTTATTATTAAGTTGAGAACTTAAATAGATGCTTTATACTTAATGAATTAATTTTGTCACAGTGATCCAAAGTATTAGGTGAAGTTTTTATACCAAAATTATTTAAAGAAAATAAGCACAGCAATTTAAGAATGTTATTCAAAATTACATGGCTAGTATGTGGGAAGACAGAATTTTAACTCAGACACTCTGTACTCAAAGCCTCCACTCTTTGTATAAAGCAATTATATTTTCTCCTTCATACCTTGATGATAAGGGGCATCACGGATAAGCTGACACACTGCTAATGGCTCATTCTTTAGTGAGTGACTCCTAGACATGCCCTTCAATAATATAAAAAAGTTGTTGAAAAATATGTTTTTGTTTTCTTAGTCAGTGTCAGAGGGAATTGGGTTGTAAAGATTTGGCAGAGGTGTTACCTCAATACTGGTCTTTCTTTATGAAGGATCAGTCATTTTTCCTGAGTATGGAAAATAATGAATAAAATTTTCTCATAAATGCAAATGAAATATTGGGAGGAATGTGGCACAAGGCAATTTGCACAAATAGATTGAAGAGCAGGCAGCAAGGAAAAGACGGTTAGAATGGTGCCGATGAGCTCAGGTGCGTGAGATGCATCCAGGCAAGTGGGTGTTGGTGTAGGAACTTCACAAGCTTGGCGAGCACAGAGTCATGGGGACTGAACAATTTATAGGATTGAAATATGGACAAACCATTGGAGAAAAGCGACATGAAGAGAATTTATAGATGAGAAACCCATTGGTAACATTAAAAAAATAGAGAGTACCAGCATCATAGTCTAGGAAAACCCCAATACGCCAGGGAGGAACTGGCAGGAAGAGGGTCACAATCAAGGGATCATTGGAGGAAGAGTCCTGAAAAGCAGTATATTCAACTTGATTCTTTAACCCTATAACCCAATAACCATGTCTAGGTTGGTAACTTACAACTTGTGTAAAACAGTTCCTCACAAGCCATTGGAGGTCTTTTACTTCACATACCCCCAGGATCCAGGCGCTTTTGTTGGACACATCTACCTCCCAGTAATGTTGTCCTGATGTCATCAGTGGGGAGCCTCCGATGCTGTAATAATCATTACTACTTGAATTAGCAGGAGCTGAACACTTCTCAAATGAGAATTCCACTTGTGTCGGATTAAAAAAATTAAAAGTATTTGAATTTTTCCTTGGAGTCAATTTCATGTCAACTGTAGAAAAATTAAGGATCATGTGAGCAGTATGATGTAGCATCGTTTTTGAAATTATGAGAGGAATCTTGAGAGAAACTTAAGAGGGACCTAAGAGGAATTTTATTCAGAGGTTACACGTAGGGTTAGGTATGTTCGAGATGGAAGGAGAAACATGGGACTTGAAAAATGAGAACTACTAGAGAACATAGATTTCTGAAAGATGATGACAACAGGGTGGCTTACGATACTGTGATTTCTCCTTACCCCAGTATAGTTGCATATCTGTCAGCTCTGAAATGATAAAAATTTATAATATTCAATACAAACAGAAGACCCAGCACTGAAATCTATTTTCTCTCCAGATTAGGGAAGTAAAAGGGACTGTGATAGGGACGTGAACAGGTGAGTGAGAGGATGAACCAGGCCCCTGATCATTTCTCGTGAAATGTGACCACATCATCAGCACCCAGCATCTGTCCTCCCTTGTCTCCTCATTCCACACCCAGAAACTGCACCATCTTCCCCATCTAGCACCTGCTACCTCTGGAATCCCACAGCTACACACTTGATCTAGCTCTCCTCACCTTTCAATGCTTGCAGCATCCCTTTCAGATCCGGAGCTTGAAAAACTCTGCTTTGTTTCTTGGGGAAAGTTTTTGGGGTCTTCAGGGTGAAGTTCTGACACCTAGGGATGAAAAATCCCCCACACCTCTGACCTTGTGTCTCTCAGACACCACTGAATTCCTTCAAATAACCCATTCCTTTCTTCCTGCTAGAACTTATAGGAAATGATAAAATAATGGATTTTAAAACAAAACAAAACAAAACTTTGATTAGTTAAAAAAAATCTAATGTGTAAAATCATCATTGTCACAAATGAGGGTTCCCAGGGAGATGGTCAGAAAGTGAGGTTGCAGAATCTGCCTCCTGGATGTTTGAGAACTATCAAATGTGGGAATCTTACCAAAAGAGGGCAATGATCTGCAATGTCTGTTCCCAGTAGTGAGGCCCTCAGATATCATATGAAGTTTCAGGTTCACTGGGAAAAATTACAAACACTTGGAAAGGGAAGAAGATATTATGAAGACCAATCTAATATTGGTTTGAGTTTTATGTGTTTGGAAACGGCTTGATGCTTCCAGGTTAGTGTGCAATTTTAGACACAAGCACACAACCTCTGCATACTCTTCTAATGTATGTAGCTGAGATGAGTCAATTGTTTGCATCGGGGCCAAAATATTATTTCTAAAGATTCAAGTTTTTTGTTTTTTTTTTTTTGAAATGTAAATAGAATCATACACCAAAAAAATAGAACCTGGTCTTTTGTATTCTCAGGAGAAGAATATAAACATGTGAGAATTATCCCAATGAACAATGCTAGGTCTTTAGAAATCAGAAAAGATACATCTCTCTCATGATAAGTCAAGAGCCTATTAAATACAAAACCAGAGTGAGATTTAGGCTCGCAGGTTGAATAAAACGGGGGTGTCACAGGGTCTGATACTGCAACACCTTATCCCTAATACCATGAATGACCCAAATTTAATTACTTCCCTCCACTCAAATCCTACACCATGGAATCTGATCTATCCTCAATAGTTACAGGCCACACAAACCCTGAATCATGATCAGAAATTTAAGATAACACTATATCTCCATTTTCCTGCCCCAGAGATGATTTATTCTCATTGATTACCAGATAATTCTAATGACTACAAATTTTTTCTCACAGCACAAAAGGACTATCCCTGGTGTCCACACATACCTTGCTGTAATGCTGTTCACATCCTAGGAAGAAGGGAGAAAATATGAGTTTAGATATGATAGACTGTCCTCATTTAGAAAGCTTTATTATATCCTCACCATATAGTGATGTGCTGAGAATGGATTTGATCCCAATGCAAATGACAAAAAAGTAAAGATAAGACTCATGCCAATCATCCCAGAACTCATGTGAAGTTGTCAACCTCCCTAAATAGTAGAAACATCTTTTACTCGCATGGAAGCATAACAAGAGGTTCTGATATATAGAGATGGGACATGTTTACAAGGAAAAAGAGAGAGACACATTTATTTATATATATATATATTTTACCAAATATATGTCTTCCCATGAGATGTTTAATTAATCCATGGCTCCTTGATTTATTCAATATATATGTAAACTGATAAAAACTATTATTAGACAAGCATTATTCCATGTTTTGGATAATTGAAAAAAAAAATGAATAAATAGAAATTTAACTGGTTTTCACTGAGGATTCAATGTACAATGAAACTAATGTACTAAACAAGTGGAGAAGTTTCTCATTTTTCTCGCTTCTCATTCTGTACATTAACTATAATTGACTTCAACCACTCCCTTTAATTCTAAAACAACATATATGCAGTTGATTTCCAACTCTCTAGTTTTACACAGATTTGTCGCTGAAATGCAGTTTAATATATTCAATAGTGAAGAAGTCACAAATACTAGCACATTAGGATGCCTGATATGTAACACCCACCACACTATCTTCTCACTTATACCCCATTGTCCACAATGTTACCAATATTCAGTCATTGTCATGCAAACTACAATATTTATTCTGAATTCCAGTCTCTACCAAGCCAGTTTAATGTATATCCTTAAATAGTATGTAGTCATCTAATCATCTTTAACCCCACAGATATTGTTTTATTTGTTTGAGCAAATATGTCCCAATATATTTGGTCTCCTTTACCCTAGACTTACTTCCTCCATGCAGTTTTTTTGAAGAACAAGGCCAATAGCTGGGTCTACACACTCACACAAAATTTACGCTGTTTGTATTAGGACTTTTATTTTGCTTATGACATAAACCAAGTAAAGTAAGATTAAGTGATTTAAAAAAAATGTTGGGAAGAGCAGTTATAACATCAGTCATAGCTGAATTTTGAAGCTAAAACATTGTCAGAGAATATAGTCTATATGTCTTTTTCCAGATTATTTTTTTCTTTTCTCTACATTGAATTTATTCTCACTAAATGAAAGATAGGTGAATCTCCTGACATAAGCCTCAGCAGAAAGGAAAATTTACTTGCATAGTTTAACAAAAATTTCTGAAGCTTGAGTGGCAATTGTTTACTTGGGATCAGATGCCCATCTTAAAAGCATTACTGTGCTGTTCCTGGAAACAAATGAATTGCACCTGCTAATTTTACTAGGGTTAAGTGATATACAATCTTGACCATGCTATGAATAAGAGAAGTGAAGAATCCCATCAGGGAGTAAGTCATGGCAGATTTGAAAATGGCCTAAACTTTTAATGCACTCCCCCACTCAAACATAAATCCATCCAGAGGGCAGAAACGTCAGTGTATTGATGAAATTGAACACAACTTCCATTCAAGCTTAGAAGTCAAACAAAGATACATAGACACATAGGGGAAACAGGATGCCACAAGTAAAAATTACATTTTATCTCTCTTTAAACTCAGCAGAGACATCAGCAGCAATAGGGAATTAACTAAATAAAGAAACCAAAAAAACCTTTTAAGATAAAGGGGGGTATAATGAGAATTTAGAGAAACAAAAAATACTACAAAAAATCTATTTTACAAATGAAAATTATGGATATACAAAGAAATGATAAAGTATAACCTTATGCTTAGAAAAAATCTGAAAATAATAAATGGGAAATATATCTACATGACCCACACATTGTAGTTAGGAGGAAAAATGTCAAAACAACTATTGTAAATATGTAAAAAATCAAAGGAAAACTTTGCTTATAAATTAAAGCATAAAAGCAATGATTCATTAGAAAACTATGAGACATTAGTAAAAAAAATTTTAGGAGGACACAAATAAATGGAAAAATATCCCATGATCATGGGCCAGAAAAATTAACATCATCAAAACGTCAGTATTACTCAAAGCAATCTACACAATCAACACAATCTCTATAAAAATACCAATCACATTGTTCACAGAAATTTTTTTAAAAAATCTTGAAATTTGAATAGAACCACAAAAGACCCCATATAGAGAAAGCAGTCTTGAATAAAAAGGACAAAGTTGGAGGCATAATACTTTCTAACTTCAAAATATAACATAAAGCTAGAGTAACCAAAACAACCTGGTGATGACATAAAAGGAAATTGACCAGTGCAATAGAACAGAGAGTCACAATGTAAACACATACACTTATAGCTAACTGATTTTTGATAAAAAGTGCCAAAAATATACAATAGGGAAAAGACAGCCTCTTCAACAAAGTGTACTGTGAATACTGGATATCCACATGCAGAAGATTGAAACTAGACCCCTATCTCTCACTAGACACAAAAATCTACTCAAAATAGATTAAAAACTTAAATTTAACACCTAAAACTGTGAGACAACTAGAAAATAGGGAAAATGTTACAA